CCATGGCGTCTACCATCCGCAGAAGCCAAATAAGATCCGCGTCGTCTTTGATTGCTCTGCAAGGTTCCAGAATACATCGCTCAACGAGCATCTCCTGTCAGGACCTGACCTCACAAATACTCTTGTTGGAGTTCTGTGTCGTTTCAGGAAAGGACGTGTAGCTGTCATGTGTGACGTGGAGCGCATGTTTCACCAGTTTCATGTTGCCCCAAAAGATCAAGATTACCTCCGATTCCTATGGTGGGAGGATGGTAACATGGAAAAGTCCACATCAGTGTTTCGCATGAGAGTCCACTTGTTTGGTGCAGCATCTTCACCAGGATGCGCAAACTTTGGATTCAAGCATGTCGCTGCGCAAGGTGAAAATAAGTTCAGTGAAGCCACGGTGAAGTTCATGCAACGCAACTTCTACGTGGACGACGGTTTGGTGAGTGTGGATTCAGTGCAAGAAGCTATTCAACTTGTAAAGGAAGCTAGAGAACTGTGTGCCACGGGTAAGCTGCACCTGCACAAGTTCATTAGCAACAGCAAAGAAGTGATTGCTGCTATCCCAAAGGAAGAATGTGTAGCAGGAGCAACTGATCTGGATCTGGCACTAGGAGAGCCAAAGATAGAAAGAGCCTTAGGGGTCCAATGGTGTGTAAGCTCAGACACCTTTCAATTCAGGGTGATTGTAAAGAATAACCCCTTCACTAGAAGAGGAGTGCTCTCGACAGTGGCCTCAATATTCGACCCACTTGGATTCGTCGCTCCGTTCATTTTAGTTGGTAAGAAACTCCTCCAAAGAATGTGTCAGGAAAAGCTGGACTGGGACAAGCCGCTTCCAGAAGATCTCAAGCCTCAATGGGAAGCTTGGCTCAGAGACCTCCAGAACCTGTCCTCCATAAAGATATCACGTTGTTATGTCCCATCAACATCTGACCAAGTGAAGCAGTATGAGTTACACAGCTTTTCTGATGCCAGTGTAACCGGTTATGGTGTGTGCTCATACTTGAGAACAGTGACCAAGTTTGGAGAAGTACAGTGCACTCTTGTGATGGGTAAAGCAAGAGTCGCTCCTACTAAAGTGACAACCATCCCAAGATTGGAGCTTTCTGCGGCTGTAGTAGCTACGAGAGCAGCTGACTTTCTAAAGAGAGAATTGGAGATCCAAAATATTCAGGTGTACTACTGGACTGATTCCAAAGTTGTCCTTGGTTATATTAACAACGACGCAAGGCGCTTTCATGTATTCGTTGCTAACAGAATACAGAGAATCAGATCAAGTACAGAACCAAGTCAATGGCGATATGTTGCCTCTGAACAAAATCCTGCAGATCACGCATCACGTGGAGTCATGACAAAAGAACTAGTACAGTCCAACTGGTTCACAGGACCAAGTTTTTTATGGCAAAAGGAACTACCACAAGAAGACTGTCTTCCAAGAAATCAATGGAAACTCGCCAAAGTTGTGGAAGTCACTCCAGGAGCTGACGGCAGAGTCAGACAAGTTAAGCTTCTCATCGGTGACTCTACTAGAGACAATAAGGGGAAGCACACAACTAAGACGATTTTAGAGAGACCCATACATAAGACTATACTTTTACTTGAAGCAGAGTAAAGACTCAACATAATGTTTATTGGTTAACCTTCGCTAAGTTCATTGTTGGGTCAAATTCCTTTAGGATCACACATGCTGTTGCGATAGTGTGATGGTGGGAGTGTAACAGTTGGTGAAATGTTAGTATTTGACCACTAGGCGGAGCTCTTGTAATGATAATGTAACTAACTCATTTTATTTTGTATGTTTTATTTTTGTGTTGAGCATGTTAACATTTTCCTTTTTTGCCTACCGGATTGGTGTACAGTTAATTTGATACATGGAAAATAGCCGGTTAATTTTGTAAATATAAGGTAAGGGCAGAGGTCACTTCCTGTTTTGGAAAAAAGTCAGAGAAGCTGCGCATGGTGACGGTCTAGCCGTGTAAAAGTCAAGCTAAGAAAGAAGAAATAAGCCCTAAGTTCCAGTTACACCGGTTTGTCTACTTGCAGGCCAAAGTGGTATGTTTGTTTATATTTTGTGAATTTTATATTGTAATATGTTTTAATGCTGAAATATAATTTTCTTGTACATTTGTATTCACCAGTTCTACGGTGTACCTGTACGTTAAGAGAAGCACAGTAAACATCAGTAAAGAAGAACTCTCGTGTCTCTCGTGTATGTGTACAAGCCGGCATAATGGGCGTCACCTACTTAGTGAGGAGAAAAGTGGGACTGACCACCAGGGCCCTAAATGTGAGAGACGCCCTTGCAAGACTGGAACCAAAAGTTTGTTTTTATGACCGACCTGTCAATACCTCATAAATGTGTTTTTTCTAGCTGCAATACACTACAGGGAGCTACAGATCTATATTGTCTGCCAAAACTGCTCACAATACTAATGAAGTATGTAGTGTGAACGGCAAAGCATGAGGACAGAACAAAATGGAAACAGATTTAAAAATATATAAAAACAAAGTTAAATGCAGTCTGTGCAAATCTGTGCTTTTGTTCCAAAACAGCAATAATTCAGTGTACGAGCATTTAAAAGGCTGAAGAAGCTTCTTGAACAAAAAGTAAAAGATCTTCAAGAAACTTAAAGAAGTCTGGTCGCTTTTCTTTCCAAGCTTCTTAGATTACCATGAACCTACGCAGACATAAACGCTGTTACTGTTTGTACAGTAATGTTTATGTTAGCTATCCTGTTGGACCTTCCCAGGATGATGCTTGATAAGTGAACATCATTACAGTTTTGTTAGTTAATGAGTGAAATGCAATATTAAACCATTAAAAAGTATTAGCTATACTGTCTCCTAGTTGTTTGTTTTCCACTCACATTAGCATTAGCATTTCTTCTGAAAAGTAAACTCTTCTTTCTAACGTTAGGTAGTTGATCTGTGTATCAATAATTCGGAAACTTGTTACTCTGGATTAGAAAAAAAACCCTTTTTTATTTAATTTGAAGCTTTTATTTGAACTTATGAAGAGAAGCCATTTTTGATTTTCTATTTGCACAAATGATTTGTTTAAATACTACTAGTACTTTTTTTCACATTTGTATTATCTAACGTTTGTATTTATTTCATTTTATTCTGACGGTCTTATTGAGTAATGTTAAAAATACATTCGATTATTTTCAAATTCCTATGTTTCCTGTCAGCCCACCCTTTGCAGCTATGACAGCCTCAGGTCTTCTAGGAAGGCATTCTACAAGGTTTAGGAGTGTGTTTATGGGAATTTCTGACCATTCTTCCAGAAGCACATTTGTGAAGTCAAGCACTGATGTTGGACAAGAATGCCTAGCTCACAGGCAGGCTCTAATTTATCCCAAAGGTGTTCTATCAGGTTGAGGTCAAGATTCTGTGCAGGCTAGTCATGTTCTTCCATTCTCAATTCCCTCGTCCATGTCTTTATGGAGCTTGCTTTGTGACTGGTTCCCATATATGTTGGAACAGGAATAGGCCACCCCCAAATTGTTAGGAGCATGAAATTATCCAAAAGGTACTGCTATGCTAAAGCATTAAGAGTTCCATTCAATGGAACCAACACCAACCCTGCACTCTCTTTGCACCCATCTATCTGCTGTTAGTTAAGCAGGGCAGTTCGAGGAAGACGGTACATTGCAGTCTGATAAAATTAGCATAAAACCACACAATGACATTGCTTATTAAACAACAAAACCAAGCAACTAGGTAGCATAGCATATAGAAAGTCACTTATATGATGAGGAATGGTTTACTTTGCATTTATCAGTTCTAATGAAACAGACAAACACACAAGACAATTCAACTGCTGTATATAGTAGGAGAAATAATTTATTCATACCCTGCCAAATTTTTAAGTCTGGTCACTTGTCAACCCTGTATTGCAGATTGACATACTGCAGTTTGCAACATACTGTAGAGTACAATGACTTTATATATTTCAATGAGTTATGTATAAGTAGTATAAGTAAGTAATTCTTAGAAATGTAATCTTTGTTTTGTTACGCTTATAGAGAAAATGCTCATTATACTGAACAGGCTGAAACACTAAAATTACAGTTCCTTAGCCAAATAGGCCCAATAACAGTGTGTTAAAACAGTAAAACTTGTTCAATGACATGACATACATAATAGGCATAAAAATAGGCATTTAAAAGTTAGAGATGATATAGCGAGGGGGAACTAATTATTTGAGTCTCTTCTGAGCAACAAAAGGCTATAAATTTTTATGGTAGATTCATTTCCATTGAGCAGTGGCAGTTCGAGGAAGAATAAGTCTGTGGGAGCCAGAATTCTGGCTCCCACAGACTTATTCTGACCTCAACCTCCATTCCCCCCTCTCCATCTCCATAGACAAAGAGCTGTCAAAGGACGTCAAGGACAAGATTGTAGACCTGCACAAGCCTGGAAAGGGCTACAAAATCACCCAAAAAGCTTGGTAAGATGGTGACAACTGCTAGCGAGATTGTTTGGAAATGGTAAAAAAGAAAAGAAAATGACCTTGGACTTCGGAACTAGTCTCCTGCAGAAGGGCTAAAATCTGCGATGGGCACTGCTAGTACCATGTGGTTTTTACCAGTGGACAAGAGCGTTCCCTGTGCCTTTGGGTCAGGTGACTGTCATTTGCGCTTCTTTGCCTACTTCTTCCCACGAGAATCTATCATGCTTAAAGTATAATAATAAACCCACACTAAAGATCCCCAAGTAATTAAATACCACAGATGGCGGCAGGCATAAAATAGTGGCTTTTGGGCATGCGTAAGACTTTGACTACGTGCATTTCAGCGCGTGATATTCTTCGCACGGTTTTAAAATGGAACAAATGTGCAAATGTAAAATAATTTCATGTTAAGTTATATTACAACAATGAGATACAGCTAAATGGTGTCAGGCAGAGCAATCTTACGTTTAGCTAATGTAGAGCAATAACACAAGGAAGCCCACATAGAGGTGATGAAGCATATCTATTAATTAGCGTTATTTACGAAGATGCCTACCGTAACTAGGGTTCACATGGTGTTATGACTCAGGAGGTACTTTTTGAGGATAGCAACATGTCTGCTACCCCATCCACCATCAAACGTATCAAGAAAAAAACTTCCTTTCAGATTTCCAGAATAAAAGCATAGTAGTTCACCGAACTAAATATGACTTACCCAAAATATTCCGTTTTTATTCCCCATATTCAAGTTTCAGGGGTTGCAATAACTACACTGTGATGAGGCCTTTCTGAGTCTATATGAAAATAATAAATAATGAAATGCCGGCTTTTACTCTGAAAAGTGAAAGTGTGGACGCCACTGCTTAAGCTCAAGGAAGCATAGGTTATTACAATAACAGGCGAGTGGAAGACGCTGAGTGGCAGCGTGCAGGTATCTTTTCACTTTCAAAATTCATATCTTCAGAATCTTTAATCAAGCTCTATAGTACTTTTGCTATTGTAGTGAAACTGATAACCTGACAAAAAACGAACCAGCTTAACAGATGGCGGGCGTTAGCTTATGTGGAAAACCGATAATAAAGTTGCCTTTTTAGTAACCTGATAAGGTAGACCTAGTTGTAGGAAACCCCTAGCTACATTTTTCTTTAGATTTCGCTTGCTTAGATATAAGGTCATGTATATGTATCGATTCGCTAAATCGATGCATTTTCCCTTTGTAGCTTCCGGTCTATGTCCAGGCGTGACATATGTTTAGTCGTCACGCCAGTGCTATTTTTGCATTATTAAAAAACAAACGCTCAATCAATCAGTCGAATAAATAAATTCTCACGTAATAGCTACACGCTTGTCGTTATAGGCACCGACCAGCTGTCATGTCATAAAATGTATGAACGTGTCTACCCTTATATTGCAATGATTTTTTTGTTTTTTAAAAGATGCTTAATGTTAGTATGTACGTAATAGTATACATGTGAAGATGTTCAGTAAGCCTTGCATTGTTTTTGACGTGTGGGAATAGCCCTGTTTCCATAGTTTCCTCCGTCTCCTGGGTTCTGATGTCAACAGAGCTTCCCCTTCTCACTCCTCCTCTGTTAAAGCCACCCTACTCTGTTATCTGTTAACAGATGATGAGTCACCAAGCAAGCAAAGCATCTCGGTTATTTTTCTTTCGCCATTAATAAGCATTCTCTGGGTTTCAAGTAGAGGAGAAAAGCAGTTGTTGTTGTTTGGATTTTGCCATAATGATGTTATCATCACATTTACGTTTTTGAGTATTTGAAAAGAAAAAATTGAAAAGACTGTTTCAAAGCACGTTTTGCTACAAGCCTCATTCAGATAGCATTTTTTACTATTTCTTAAGGACATGACTTTCAAATACTGTTCAGATACTGCTTTCTCTGAAAATCCCCGAAAGGCCTTCAGAAAGCATTTAGAACTATAGCTCTAGATAAATTGCAAGAGAGTCTGACACACACATAAACTTGCCTAAAGGTTTTCCTGAGCCACTTGATCCACTTCCAGCATATTCTTTTGGCATGTTGAATTTTAAGGCAAATTTGAGTCAATATGTGCGTTTTGTCTCAATTAACAGTTATATTTTCATTTTCACATACTGTATTAACACAATAGACCTAAAATCACACAAAACAAAAAATCTCAGTAGGAAAAAGATTTTTTTTTACAATGAAAACAGAATTAAAATGCAGAAAATGTCTCAAGCTTTTTTTGTATAACTATCTATAAAATAATAATCATAATCATGCCACACAAATCATTTGTGCCACTCCAAAAATTAGTTCGTGTCCACAATAAGACAGACAATATCTATGTCGTCCCCTCAGCCTCCCTGGGAAAGTCTGTTCCAGGGTGCTGGAAAGTAGGGTGCATCTGTTTGTCGAATCTCGGATACAGGAGGAGCAATGTGGTTTTTATCCTGGTCGTGGAACACTGGACCAGGTTATTATCCTCTCACGGATACTTGAGGGTGCATGACAGTTGGCCTAACCAGTCTACATGTGTTTTGTGGATTTGGAGAATGCATTCAACTGTGTCCCTCGGAGTGTCCTGTGGAAGGTGCTCCAGGAGTATGGGGTGTTTGGCCCATTGCTATGGGCCATTCAATCCTTATACAACCGTTGCATAGCCGGCAGTAAGTTGCTGGCTATGCCAGGGGTTCCCTGGTTCCCTTTTTGCACCGATTCTGTTCACAGTTTTTATGGACAGAATTTCTAGCCTAGAGACGTAGCGGAAGGCTTTCACTTGGGTGGTCTCAGAATCTCATCTCAGCTTTTCGCGGAGGATGTGGTTCTTTTGGCTTTATTGGGTGATGGCGTCCAGCTCGCACTGGAATATTTCGCAACTCATTGTGAAGCGGTGGGAATGAGAATCAGCACCTCCAAAACTGAGTCCATGGTCCTTAGCTGGAAAAGGATGGAGGGCCCACTCCCGGTCAGAGGAGTATAAGTATCTCTGGGTTTTGTACACGAGTGATGGGAGAAGAGAGCGGGAGATCGACAGACGGATTGGTGCTGTGGCTGCAGTGATGTGAACCCGGTATCAGTCCGCTGTGGTGAAGAGAGAGCTGTGGGTAGTGACCGAAAGAACGAGATCGCGATCACAAGCGGCAAAAATGAGCTTCCTCAGAAGGGTTGCTGGCCTCTCCCTTAGAGAAAGGGTGAGAGGTTCAGCCATCTGGAAGGGTCTCAGAGTAAAGCTGCTGCTCCTCCACATGAAAAAGAGCCAGTTGAGGTGGTTTGGGCATCTGACAAAGATGCCTCCTGAGGTGCCTCTTGGGTGAGGTGTTCTGGGCATGTCCCACCAGGAGGAGGCCCCGGGGCAGACCCAGGACACGCTGGAGAGATTATATCTCGGCTGGTTTGGGAACGCCTTGGTGTTCCTTCAGACAAGCTGGAGGAGGTGGCTGCTTAGGCTGCTGCCCCCGCGACCAGGCCCTGGAAAAGCAAAAGAAGATGGATGGATGTTAGGGCTGCCACGATTAGTCGACTAGTCACGATTACGTCGACTATCAAAATCATCGATGACTAATTTAATAGTTGACGCGTCGTTTGAAGCTTTGTAAGATCCCAAAAGACGCAGGAATAAGTAGTAGTATTTAAGAGTGTAATAATGGACTGAAACAGAAGATGACAGCACTGCATGTACAAGGATGCCAGCTGCTGTTAAACCCAGAAGAAGAAGAAGCAGTGTCCGGTATCGTAGCTCGATACCGGACAACATAGCTCAAGTCTCGATAGAGCCCGTGAGAACACCGGACTCCCGGCAAATTGTTTTCAAGCCCACCGCCGTCTTTTGCTACTCAGGTTAAACATGATATATGAGTCACTTAGATAACTTAAAAATGTTATTGTTTGGTTTTTTTTTTTCAGTATTTTATTTGTTCCTGAGTAAATCGATTTGGCTGAGATTAAAGTTATAGTTTTTACACAGCTGAATACACGTCAAGCAGACAACTGATTGTCAGAAGTGTGAGATGGTCGAGAATATACTCAGGTGTCCTTTTATATTTTAGATAGCAAGGCGCAGATGGCTGAGCCCAAATCTAATTAATTATTTCTCTGCAATTACAAACTCTGTCCTTACAATCCTGGTATCAAAATAAAGCTAACACTTGTGAGATTTCATCAGCGGTGTAAATATTGAAGCAGATATTACTGTGTCACAGTTACTGAGACTGTAACACAGAAAAAGTAAGTATATTTTATCCTTGCCTAATTTTTTTTTTTTTTTAATTTTTAGCATATAACCTAGGGCTGCTCGATTATGGCAAAAATGATAATCACGATTATTTTCACTGAAATTGAGATCTCGATTATTTGACGATATTTATTTAACCCTTTAAGACCTACCATAGAAACAAGTCCGCCAGAGCTTATATATATATTTTTTTACATGCTGTAGTGCCATTTTTGGGAGCATTTCAAGTTGCTATACATCAATGCAACTGTTATAGCCCATATTTTAATAATATGTATGCATTAAGTCCATAGTAATTACATTAATTGCAAAAAAGTGCAATAAACAACAAAAAAATTGAAAATCGTTTTTTTTTTTTTTTTTACATATATTTCTACTTGGGGAAATTTAAGAGGCTTATCCCTCAAAACTTTAAATACAAAAAAGTTGCAAAAAATAGTTTCCCACCACAGGAAATTTATTTTGAGTGTCTTCATAGTTTTATTTTGGAGATACAGCAATTTTTATATACTGCAGGAAAAACAAAAAACAATCTTATGATGCAAATTTGCAAAGAAAACAGCATGTGCATCAAAACAAACTATTTCCAGCAGTGCAATTTGAGTTCTAAGCATCCCAGCAACTATTCAGAAAAGTATAGAGTCAAACATGACTTATAAAAACACCAGTATAGGCTTTTAAGGCCTACAAGTAAAAAACTAAATTTTCTGCCAAAATGACGTCACTTCCGGTTTCGAACAGGAAATGGCGGACATGCGATAGTTCGCGTTGACGTCTTTTTCACTGTGGGAAGTGTTACGAACAGCTGATCGGATCGGCAAAGCATGTTTCTGGAATATTATGTTTTTGTTCCTGCAAGCGCTTTTTATGCAATTTTTGCAAAGCTTTATGTGGAAGGAAACCGTGACCGAGGACAAGCTGATGGCATAAGATGTAAGTACAACTCCTCCGGTTTCATATGCAAAACAAATTATTGCGCTAGCTTACGCGGTTCCGGTTCTACGGGGATTTAAAGGGTTAACAATAACAATGTATTGAATAATGACTTTAAAAAATAATATAAAATAGTGTGCAAATACTGATAACAGTGCAAATGTTTGCAATATAAAAAATAAATGAAAAATGTAAACATCTATGTTTAGTGAACTTTGCAGTGTTGCTCTGTGGTGCAGCTATGACACCGTAGCAAAGTTTACACACTATGTCTACTTGATCTACATCTGACTCCGCGAACCCATAATGTTTCCACACCACTGAAGTTTTTTTTTTTTTTACCTCTCTTTTCAACCAACGGCAGTCACTCTCCTCTCCAAATAACTTCTGCTTAGCTTTCCGAGCTTCCCTTGGGTCCTCTTAATTGTTGTGATGCGTGTTCGAAATGCAGAGAGGTGCGCTCGATTTGCCACACGGAGCAGCGCGAGAGTAAAGCACGAGGGAGGGGCTAATAATCGGCTCAGTCATTTTTAATGATCGTTGAAAGCCCAGATCGTAATCGTGATTAAAATTCGATTAATTGAGCAGCCCTAATATAACCCTTTTAAAAATATGCCTCAGATCACATTTGGTTCCAGGATTTCAGTAACCAACATATAAACATCATCTGTGCAAAGATTTATGTTTCTAAAGTGAAACAGTGAAAAATTACAGCCCTGTCTATACATGAATATCCAGACGTTGTACAAAAATGTCCAATTTTGGCACACAATTGGACACCGTGCCAGTTGAATTTTTTAGGTATTGAAGAGCAGAAATTAATAAATTTTATTAACAGGCCTAAAAATGCTTTTTTTAAAATATATTTTTGAAGAATTAACCACACATTTACATGGTAATGGCCCTTTTCTGCAGTGTGCATGAAGCGTTTAATTGGTCTCTGGCCCTTTAAACTCAGAGGGGCTGTAACTTTGGTTTCTTTTGGTCAATTTGCATGATTGACACCTCTTTTTAATCGTTTTAGCCAATAGAATCAAAGTAATGATGCCACGTTCACGTCACTTCAACCAATCAGACGTTGTCTGTGAAGGTTCTCAGTCATCCAGGTCATCGTAGTCAAAGGAGCTTGCAAAGCTCCTTTTCTTTGCTCCTTTTCTTTGCAAGCTCCTTTGACCAATCAGACGTTACAATGCCAAAATCCACGTGGGCCCAAATTTGCTGCATGTGGTGTCTGTCCAGTCACGTGTCTGTAGGTGGGTCTAAAATGGAGATTGTTGACGGAAAACGGCTCTGATACAGCTAGGTAGGCGTGGTAACTTCTGATAATCACGTGGCTACCGTCTACCGGCGACAATAACGGAGGAAATTGGGACCGTAAGCCAATCTCTGTCTTAGCGCATTTGTGTCGCTATGTGTTTTTGTGATCTTCTTTTGCGGCGCATACAGTGAATTTTGGTCTGATTGTGGTGAAACTTGGTGTGTGGAGTCAGTGATAGCTCTGGAAGCTAACCAGCCTATCTTTAGCCGGTTACATGAAGTCTGGAGAATTTCCGGTTTGATTTTGTTTGTTTGGCGGTCTTCTGCACATTTACGTAACTGCTCTTTTAATCATGGCTTGTTTTCCATGTGTTTGGTGGTTGTAGAAATTGGTTATATGACATTTTAGCTGAGATTCAGAGGTTTCTGTGGATACCACACATGTCTGGACTTATATTTGTCACCCCGTGTTATAACCGATTAAATGTGATCTCCTCCTTTTTGCCCCCGGTACCGGGGGCGTGGGGCTTAAAGCTGTAAACTAATAATAGTTATATAAGAGCAGATGCATGCTGGTGTAATAAGCTGTACGTTGTACATCCAATGGATGTTGAAAAGGCTCTGGAGGTCCCTGTATTAAGCACGTAAACCTGTGACACAAAAATCACCAAACTCGGACCACCACAGACTGTTTTCCATCGTGGTGATGAATAAAATGCTGGGCTGGCATGTAAAAGGGCATTTATTCCCTTCAAGGACCTGAAGCTCCATAAAGCACCCCTCCATTAGCCAAACCCATCTGTTCTCCAATTGGATTGTTAAATTTGTGATTGATATGACATTGGCCAATCAGATGAAATGAAGAAAAATAGGGTCAAAATTCGTACTTGTAACTTGAAACTTGAGTGCAGAGTTTCACACGTATTTTTTGGCTAACTCCACACACAAATTCTTTTTACACATACAAATCTTTTTTATGCACACACAAATTCTTTTTACACATACACATCTTTATTAAGCACACACAAATTCTTTTTACAAATACACATCTTTATTACGCACGCACAAATTCTTTTTACACATACAAATCTTTTTTACACGCACACAAATTCTTTTTACACATACAAAACTTTTTTACACACACACAAATTATTTTTACACATACAAATCCTGATTTACAAGTACAAAATATTTATGACCACAATTTGAGCCCATAGTTTTAAGTCTGCACTTCTGACTTGATGAGAGTGGGTCTTGTGCTATGTCATCTAAAATCTGTCATTTTATTTGGACACATGGCATGCCCATCAACTCTTTTGGGTTAAATATTCAAAGAGGTCTTGAAAATGGAACAATATAGCAATTTGGTTACAGTTGCAGGATTCATTTTAGCAGTCAAAATGCCAATCGCCTGATCCCTGCTTGTCTGTGGCAGTCAAGGCATTAGGGATAGGGTTTGGACTCAGGGGTTAGGGCTTTATATTGGACTATTGATCACACCATATCGACATAACTTTGCCCTGCTAGTCTGCTCACCTGAAATGAACTACTTTTTCATTGCTGTTAATTGTTTTGCTGCATTTGTTGTATGTATGAATAATACTAATAAATTAGTACTTGTGTTGGACCAATGAGACTATGAGTTAAGCAAGACATTTTGAGGAAGTCAGTGCATTTCAGACTGATGACATTAAAATACCACAATGACACAGAACATACGGGGGCGTGGGGGAGCATTTTAGTTTATCACTTTTGTGGTGATGATTGCATTATTTAGCTTGGAACTTTTGTTAGAGCTCATCAAACAACGTGAGGCAGCACACCCTCATGTTACAAAATCAACCATTATGTCCACAAGACCGTTAGATGTCATATGTGACTTAGAGTGCGTTTAAAAAATTGATTTTCCCGATTCAAGATTTTAGTTTAAATAATGCAATATCGATTTATTAAATCCTGAATTGATTAAATGAACAAAAAAAAAAAAAGTATAAGTATATATATATATATATATATATATATATATCTACACACACATATAAAAAAAAAAAAAAAAAAACACCCAGCACGCCCCTGCGGGCGGTTTATCCTTCAAGCTCGGGTCCTCTACCAGAGGCCTGGGAGCTTGAGGGTCCTGCGCAGTATCTTAGCTGTTCCCAGGACTGCGGTCTTCTGGACAGAGATCTCCGATGTTATTCCCGGGATCTGCTGGAGCCACTCGCCTAGCTTGGGAGTCACCGCACCTAGTGCTCCGATTACCACGGGGACCACCATTACCTTCACCCTCCACATCCTCTCGAGCTCTTCTCTGAGCCCTTGGTATTTCTCCAGCTTCTCGTGTTCCTTCTTCCTGATATTGCTGTCATTCGGAACCGCTACATCGATCACTACGGCCGTCTTCTTCTGTTTGTCTACCACCACTATGTCCGGTTGGTTAGCCACCACCATTTTGTCCGTCTGTATCTGGAAGTCCCACAGGATCTTAGCTCGGTCATTCTCCACCACCCTTGGGGGCATCTCCCATTTTGACCTCGGGACTTCCAGGTTGTACTCGGCACAGATGTTCCTGTACACTATGCCGGCCACTTGGTTATGGCGTTCCATGTATGCCTTGCCTGCTAGCATCTTGCACCCTGCTGTTATGTGCTGGATTGTCTCTGGGGCATCTTTACAAAGCCTGCACCTGGGGTCTTGCCTGGTGTGATAGACCCCAGCCTCTATGGATCTTGTGCTCAGAGCTTGTTCTTGTGCTGCCATGATTAGTGCCTCTGTGCTGTCTTTCAGTCCAGCTTTGTCCAGCCACTGGTAGGATTTCTGGATATCAGCCACCTCCTCTATCTGCCGGTGGTACATACCGTGCAGGGGCCTGTCCTTCCATGATGGTTCCTCGTCTCCCTCCTCTTTCTTGGGTTTCTGCTGCCTGAGGTATTCACTGAGCACTCGGTCAGTTGGGGCCATCTTCCCAATGTATTCTTGGATGTTCCTTGTCTCATCCTGGACTGTGGTGCTGACACTCACCAGTCCCCGGCCCCCTTCCTTCCGCTTAGCGTACAGCCTCAGGGTGCTGGACTTGGGGAACCCGAGAAGAAACAATAGACGTTCGTCTTTTTTATATATATATATATATATATATATATATATATATATATATATATATATATATATATATATATATATATACACACACACACACACACGTACACCTGGGAAACGAAAGCTGCTCACTCACAGCAGCGCCATTGATGGTAATGGGGACATTTGCTTCTCTACACCTTCAGAAGTCCACTATCATCTCTTTTGTCTCTGTGACGTTAAGGATGAGATGATTCTTTTCGCACCTTGTAAGCTGCCTCATCACCTTTGGTGATAAGACCCATCACTGTTGTGTTGTCCACAAAACCTGAAACAATGAAATTGGAGTTGCTAGTGGCCGTGCAGTTGTGGTGTAGCGTGAGTACAGGAGAGGGCCCAGTACACACCCCTGTGGAGCACCAGTTTTCATTATGACTGGGGATAAGGTGATGCTGCCCAGTCTGACCACCTGGTGTCTGTCAGACAGGAAGTTAAGGATCCAGCTGCAGAGAGAGCTGCTCAATCCTAGATCCTGCAGTTTCCTGTCCACCCTTTAGGGAACAATGGTATCCTTACTGGATAATAATTAACACACTCTATGAATGGAAAGAGTTGTAGATGTTGTAGTTGTAGATGAATCTGAAACCAATTTGGGCCAGCTGAAAAATTCTGTGATAATTCCATTATGATTTAAATTCTAAGACTAGTATAGAAAGTGAATTCCCATCAATTTCCATCTCTACATCTATTCAAAAACAACCTTGACCTTTTCAGTAACGTGAAATTTTGTGATTTCTGTAATATCATGATATTTTATCTCGCATTAAACTTTACTCCCCTAAGCTTTAATATTATATCAAACTCACCAGGTAGATGTGTCAATTAAACAGTGTTTACTGTCTAATGGACACATTTTGTTAACAAAATAATTATATATTGCTGCCTTATTGGGGCAGGGATAGCTCAGTAGGTAAAGTGGTCGCCCCATGATCGGAAGGTCGGCGGTTCGAATCCACTTAACGGCTACCCTGAGATACCCCTGAGCAAGGTACCGTCCCTACACACTGCTCCCCGGGCGCCTGCTTAGTGGGCTGCCCACTGCTTCACTGAGTGAATGGGTCAAATGCAGAGAAAAACAAGTAATTTCCCCATGGGGATCAATAAAGTATCCATTATTATCATTATTATTATTATTATTATTGGGTTCTATATCTGTCACTTTTGCATTTAGCATGTTTTTGTTTTTTGTTTTTGTTCTCCAGGTTTCTGCTCCAGGATTTTTGTTTGACAGTGACAGCATCTATTTTTACATTTTCAGCATAGAGACATTACACTGATAATCACTGGAATGATGGGAGTTCCTGCATCCTGTGTGGTGGTGCTAACATTCATTCTTTACAGCCACAGTTTGAAAATACAAAGTACTCTGCATGTGTCTAAAAGGTAAAAATATACACATATTGTTTTATTTTTTGTCTAGCTACAGCCTTACTAGGCTGTTAAAGCAACTTTAATTATAAAAACACAAAAATGTATGGATTGGTATATGATATGGTATGCTGGTTCTTGTTTTGATGTGTTTTTGGTGTAATTGAACATGTTATTAATAATTGATTTTGTCTGTATTACTGAAGTTCTCAGGAAAATGTTCTGAATCCCAGTAAATGTGTGTCCAGGACTAATCAGCAGCAGATAATAGCAAATCCATACAACTTCTCTGTGGATCTTCGCATGCCTGGTGTTATCCCAACTGGGGTAAGTGTGTTTCCACTCAATGTTGGTGTGTGTCTATCAGTAGGGATGTGCAATATGACCAAAATCACATATCCCGATATAAAACATCTATCGTCCCGATAACGATATAAATCACAAAAATATAAAATTTTCTGTATATTCTGTGAATCTCGGGCAGCTCGACTTGCGTGAAGTGTTTCCAGCTGGGCGTCTTGTACCTGGAGTCTAATGTTTTAACCGATACATGAAACTACACCTTCTCAAACATAAGTTGTAATGGCCGCCGTTTTCTTTGTGAGTATTTATTACACGGCGTGCTGCAGGGAAAAGCCTGTTCTAACATTTGACTCTAAGGTTTATTTTTTAGCACCTGGCGGCTCTTTTTTGCGTCTCATCTGTAAACACTCTTCATACTCTTTCACGTGATTCAGTTTATTTTGAAAAGTCTCAACAGGATCTTGAGCTTTATTGTGAAAGGTTTATGTGGAAAATAAACAAGCGGACATGCGGTGGTTTTACGGTCGTTGTTGCTAACTTGTTGTGCTTGTCCGTCCATAGTGTGGTTATATTAAATATAAGAGAAAGAAAGAACTTTAAGAAATTAATATAGCCACTACAGTGACCATCAAAACGATGAAAAAATATTGCCGTGAACAGTTTATTTTGCGACACCATGAAGCAAACGATAGCGTAAAATGAAACGATAGTTGTTTTTATATCGTCATCCAATATATATCGTTATATCGAACAGCCCTATCTATCAGTTGTTTGTTTCAGAAGTTTATGCGCACTTATCAAGGGTATGAATGCCATGGTAATTTGGGGCTTATAATTAGTTGTTTGACCTGTTCTTTTAAATAAAGTAGAATGATTGTATAGCTTATATAGTTAATGACTTTAAAATAAAAGAATTTAGTGCACAAGTTTAATTTTTAAAACATGATTTTTCTTTGTCCACACATTTAATACATGCAGGCTCAAATATATTTATATATACGCCCAGTAATATTCAGTGTCCTTAAACAAGTTGTAGGTTAACCAAATGCTTTTGGTAGCCATTAACAAGTTTCTGGCACAACTCTGGATGGATACATGATCACCTTTCTGCTTTTGTGACCTTTGCCAGCACCATCTTACCCTTCCGACCATACACAAACATCACACGGGGAAGACAGGTCAGAGAGGTATAACAATGGAAAATGCACAACATGAGGAAAGATGAGGATGAAAAAGAACTCCCCCCAGACTGAGCTCCAACAGGGAGATCAGTTTGAGAACAGAAAAAAAACGTCTCAGCACTAGGGCTGCCACAAACAATTATTTCGATAGTCGACTAGTCACCAATTATTTTTGCGATTAGTCAGCTTGAAGTGTTTAAGGTATGTGCTAACTAAAAATAAAGACAAGATGATAGTTTATTAAATTTTAATGAAATTTGCGGGTTGTTTCAGTGAAGTTCAATAAGCTCAGCCGTCTGCTCCTTGCTACACAGTAAAAAACAGAGTGTCAATTTTACACTTACAGAGTTGATTTTAACTCTGTTTCAGATAACATTTGGTCCCACTCAAAATTAGAGTAAAATTTACTCTATGGCCAGTGTTAACTTTTTAGTGTTAATTCCTCTCAATTTGGTGTCAAAATTAACAACGAAATGTGTAAAAATATTTAACACTGAGGGTTATTCACACTGTTTAGAGTAATATGATTTCACTTTATAGAGTTATTTTTAGTCCAAGTTCACTCTAGTGTGTAATAATATTTCATTTTCATTATTTTTTCATATTTATCATATGATGCTATATTTCTAAATGGCTGTGATCTATCCTATATTATGAAAATAACTACAAACATACAGGTTACAGTAACAGCATTTATTAGCATAACAAACTCTTACAAATGACAGTAGCTATGATGCTCACCAGAGAAAGCAATATGGGACCACAAAGAGGGCGTTGTCATTCACTCCATACGACAATTGTATGTCAAAAGGCCTGGGATAATGCAGGCTGTCAACATGAAAGACAACTAAATCTTGCTTTGTCCTGGTCAACTCATAAGCGTGGAAATGTTCATGAAAGGCTACTGTACATAATGGCAAAGTGAGAAGTACCAGTTTCTCATGTATTATCAGAACTGACTCAATCTGGTAAAACACAGGCATTTCAGACACTACTTTGCCACAAATAACCAAATGCGGGCGGTAAACAATACCATTCTGTTTAGCCCAGTTCACTTTCATAACTTGAACTCTATTGGGCAGTTAAGATAAGATAAGATAAGATAAGATAGAACTTTATTAATCCCTCGGGTGGGTTCCTCTGGGAAATTCGATTTCCAAAAAAGCACAGCACCGACAGAAGTTACAGAGTTATACACACACACATATATATAAATACAGAGACAATATAAATAAAATATACGAAGGGGATAAATAGAATAAATAGGAATAAAAATAAAAATACAAGTGAATTGCACATTTCAAGTATTGAGTCTATTGCACCGTTGACTATTTACAAAAGTATTGCACAAAAGGTATTGCACAGTGAGGTGAAGAGGCACTACAGCTTAGTTGTTCCCTCCTTTGTCCTCCTGTTTCCCCTCCCTCTCCCCTCCAGAGAGGAGTTAAACAGTCTGATGGCGTGTGGGACAAAGGAGTTTTTAAGTCTGTTAGTTCTTGTCTTTGGGAGAAGCAACCTGTCACTGAACAGACTCTTCTGGTTGTTAATGGCCGTGTGCAGAGGATGCCTGGCATTGTCCATAATGTCCATCAGTTTCTTTAATGTCCTTTTCTCTGCCACTGTCACCAGAGTGTCCAGCTTCATGCCGACCACAGAGCTAGCCCTCCTGATCAGTTTCTCCAGCCTGGATGAGTCCTTCTTTGCTGTGCTGCTCCCCCAGCACACCACAGCATAGAAAAGTACTCCAGCAACCACCGACTGGTAAAACATCCTCAGGAGCTTCCTGCAGATGTTAAAAGACCTCAGCCTCCTGAGGAAGTACAGTCAGCTTTGGGCTTTTTTATACAGGTGCTCTGTGTTGCATGACCAGTCCAGTTTATTGTCCACCCACAGCCCGAGGTACTTGTACTTGTTGACCACCTCCACCTCCTCCCCCTCTATCTGAACCGGCAGTGGACCTGCTCTAGACCTCCCGAAGTCCACAACCAGTTCCTTAGTCTTTGAGGTGTTGAGTTGCAGGTGGTTTGTGTGACTCCATGCGACAAAGTTCCTCACCAGACTTCTGTACTCCTCTTCCTGATCATCCCAGATACACCCCATGATGGCTGTGTCGTCTGCAAACTTCTGAATGTGGCATAATTCAGAGTTGTAGCAGAAGTCAGAGGTGTACAGGGTGAAGAGAAGAGGGGACAGCACAGTTCCCTGTGGTGCTCCTGTGCTGCTGACCACTGTGTCAGACGTGATGTCCTTCAGCCTGACGTACTGTGGTCTGTCGGTGAGGTAGTCGGAGATCCAAGCCACCAGGCAGGGGTCCACCTCCATCCTGTTCAGTTTTTCTTGAAGCATACAGGGCCGGATGGTATTAAAGGCACTGGAAAAGTCAAGAAACAGGATCCTGATCGTGCCTTTTCCCCCATCCAGGTGTGAGTGGGCTCTGTGTAGGAGGTACAGGATGGCATCCTCCACTCCGACACCCGCCTTGTATGCAAACTGTAGTGGGTCCTGGGCATGTTGTACCTGTGGTCGGAGGAGGTTGAGGAAGAGCCGCTCTAGAGTCTTCATAAGATGTGACGTCAGTGCCACCGGTCGGAAGTCATTCAGCTCATTGGGCCGGTTCTTTTTGGGGACCGGGACGATGCAGGATGTCTTCCATAGGGCGGGCACTCTCCCCAGTCGCAGACTGAGGTTGAAGACTCGTTGTAGCGGCTCCCCAAGTTCAGCAGCACACGCCTTTAGCATCCTAGGACACACCTTGTCTGGGCCTGCTGCCTTTCTGGGGCGAAGCTTCCTCAGTTGTCTCCTGACCTGATCCACTGTGACACTGGGAGATGTTTGGGAAGAGGGGAGGGGGGAGATGTCTTGCTGCTGAGAGAGGGATTGGAGGAGGGGGGTGTCATGGTGTCAGGAAGGGGGGGAAGCGAGGGAGGTAGGAGAGTGGGGATTGGACTCTGTAGTGAAGGTGAGGGTGGGGGGGTTGTGGGCTGGTCAAACCTGTTGAAGAAGTTGTTGAGTTCGTTTGCCTTCTCCACAGTCCCCCCCACTGTGCTTTTCTTGGTGTTGTGGCCTGTGATGGTTTTCACACCATTCCAGACCTCCCTCATATTGTTCCTCTCCAACTTCTGCTCCACCTTCCTCCTGTAGGTGTCCTTTGCTTCCCTCAGGCAGCGTTTCACCTCCCGCTGTGCTGCCTTCATCTCCTCCTTCACTTTGCTCCTGAAAGCCTTCTTCTTCATGTTGAGGACAGCTTTGACTTCCTGTGTTACCCACGGTTTGTTATTAGGATAACACCGTACCGTCTTAGCAGGGGCGACCGTGTCCACACAAAAGTTGAGGTAGTCTGTAAGACAGTGTGTCGCCCCCTCTATGTCCTCACCATGTGGGCTCAGGAGCACATCCCAGTCTGTGGTGTCATAACAGTCCCTCAGAGCATCCTCCTTTTCTGGGGTCCATCTCCGGATGGAGCGCGTTGTGACCGGCTGCCTTTGGACGAGGGGTGTGTATTGTGGCTGTAGGTAAACCAGGTTGTGGTCTGACTTCCCTAGTGGGGGGAGGGGGGTGGCTCTGTATGCATCTCTCACATTAGCATACAGTAGGTCAATTGTCCTGTTGCTTCTTGTGGGACAATTCACAAACTGGTGAAAAGCAGCCAGAGTAGAGTCCAGTGTGGCATGGTTAAAGTCTCCAGATATAATAATGAAAGCCTCGGGGTTTTGTGTCTGAAGTCTTGCTGTGACTGTGTGTATTTTTCTCACAGGCAGCTGTTGCGTCGGCCCTTGGAGGGATGTAAACACACACACAGATCACATGACTGAACTCCCGAGGTAGATAATATGGCCGCAAGCTAACAGCTAGCAGCTCCAGGTCCGGACGGCATACCGAAACTTTAACGGAGACGTGTCCA